ACTGGAGTTCAGACGTGTGCTCTTCCGATCTTTATTCAACTAAAATTGTATGTTTTATGTGTATAAAAGTTTTGATATCAATAAATGGTGCCAAGTTATAATTCCCTAATAGAATACCTTATTCAATCCAAATCATACGTATCGTGTAGCGTTTGTATTAAAGTAATTAAATATTTGATATCAATAACTAATGCCAAGTTTTAATTCCATAAAAATAGAATATCTTATTCAATTCCAGCATGTTATGTAATTGTACAAATCAAAGAATTAAACCTAAGTAATACCATTTAATTAAAAAAATAAATAAAATCTAATTGTAAATAATATTTAACTTTATAAAACTGCTATATCTAATTAAAAAGTAAAATCCAGTGGTACTGTCTTTAATTAAAAATAAAAATTGCGATAACTTACTCGACCCAAGTGATATGTATTACTAAATGACACTGTAATTAACTTTCTATGAAATAAAAAGTTTCATCACAAAAAATTAAAAAGGTAATAACAGTACAAAAAGAAAAAATTAATTTAAATACAATTTTTCATGTAAAAAAACTTGATGCTACTAGACTTTCATATATGTATATGTGTGCAAGCAAGTATTACAGGCGTGTGGATTAAAATTATGTATAAAATATAAATTTCAATTTCTTGCATTCACTTTATGTTGCAAAAATGATTTAAATAGCTTATAACAGAAGTTTAAATGATTAATGCGTGCAATATAAAAGTCATTATATGTAGAGTATTAATATAAAGTATATACTACTACTTAGTCTATCAGATGATTAGAATGAAAATTCAAGTATCTCCCTGAGAATGTAGGCTTTTTATACAAATCGGATAAACGGAACACCGTTTATCCGAAAGACACGAATTCGATTGGGATAACGTCAGAATTTTGGATAATCATCTTGGAAAAAAAAAAGTGTATCCGAGATGATACATATTAAAAAACAAATACAAGGATTAAACAAACAGAGCGATACGGAATTGTTATCAGATTCGTATCTCCCCATTCTTAATTCCTTCCTTACATGATTTCCATCACACTTCTACCATTTCCTCCATAGTCTATTCCTTCCCGATAGTTCTGCCAGTCGCTCTCCCAGCATTCTGTCTTTCCGTTTCAAAGCGTACACATCGTGACTAAGACGATTTGAGAGTTTTAACATCTTACACAAATTTGAACTTGTAAGTTAAATTTATTCTTGACGTATCTCATTGATTATTATTTTTATTCAGGAATTTATTTTCGCTTTTACATAATTTTCATAGAAATGACTAATTTCACTTTTAATAGAATTTACTTTTAATTTACACACATTTTATTAAGTTGACTATCTACGGAAAATTAATTTATTTTTACATTATTTATCTATTTATTTATTAAGTTATTCTCAATTCTGATTGTTACTTGGTGTACTCTTTCCTCACAGTTATGATTTCTGGATATTCAAAAACATGCATCTTGTTATAAACTACACGATTTCTATTACCAGTGGACTGAGGACAATGCTTTCCAAAAGATTTAGATGATAGAACAAGAACATTCACGAAACATTGGAATAGCATAAGTTGCGAGCGTATATGCGTTGGCGGATAATGTAAGTCTTATATTGAAATTGTTATATTGAAGTTATGTTCCCACTGAAGATGACCATTATGTAAAAGGGTCGAAACGTTTGTACACTAGTTATTTATATTTATATATATTAAACAGATTGTTTACCATCAAAACAAATATCGATTATTAGCA